ATTCCTGAAGTAGACCTCGGAATTGAGTATGTGGTTCACAGATCTGTTGGTTATGGCCTGAATTGCCGGGATGAGCAACTGTTGATTCGCAGAGCAGTGGTATGGCTGGATGATACAGCCCCAGTTTGGCACTCTGATGGGACTGGGCCTTGTTCTGGATTACTGCGGTATCTAGTACAGCATGTTTTATGCAATGATAGGGCTCCAGTGCAGCTCCAGCATATGACTCCTAGGAAAACGCTCTTAATTTTTATGACTTGAATCTAGCAGCTTTCTGGAGGATCCATTTATGCCCTGCACTGAAAGAGGACGCGCTAAAGATGCGAGCTTTGCTTTTGCCTTTGAAACAAAGCGTCTGTTTCTATAGCACTGCCTCCTCTCTCAAAAAACGCATCAAATATCATAGGAGTGCTATTACTCTCTCCAAAATCCAACCACTTAGCACTTCTATCCCTACTACCCCTTCTAAATATGAATGAGGGTTTTTTTTCTTTGTTTTTCTTCTAGCGCAAAAATAAAAAACATCATCTCAACTGAAGAGGCCAAGGCCAAGCTGCTGGCAGAGCAGCAGAACAAAAAGAAAGACAGTGAAACTTCCTTTGTTCCCACAAACATGGCTGTTAACTATGTCCAGCACAACAGATGTAAGTCTCATGTAGCTCTCCTGACCCAGGTGTGACCCTCTCCTCCGCTGAAGAAAAGCGGTCAGTTGGGACAGAGTCTGATGCAGGAGAAATTAATTTGTATATGAGCACAAGCAGCTGTCTGATTACTTTTTCTGGGATGCTCATATAGACCCCGTCTGGCTTGGTCTTTTTCTTCCATCCGTCAGCAGGGAGAGGAACACACTGCTCGTGGCTTGACTTTCTGCTCTTGAACTCCAACTGATACTGCCTCATAAATTTCAAGACTTTTTTGTTTCTTAAGTTGTGTCTTGAGCATGTGCTGGAAATGCCTGACTTGTCTGCAATATAAATGATGGTTTATAATTGAGAGAATCCATTTTGTAGGCTGCCAAAGCAGACAGGTGGTCAAGCAAACATAGACTTCACTAGACAGGAGATGGGAATTAATTTCCGGGAGAGCCTGTCTTACTGCAGCCATCTGGAGGAAAGGCAGCCTTCTGCTGTGTCTAACCATGCTTACAGGGGTGATTTGGAGTCAGATTTGCGTGTTCTGAAGGAAATGAAGAGTCTTCGGGCTGCTTCTGATGAAATAGTGCTACTGAAATTTGCTGTATCCCATCTTGCATGTATTGATTCTCCATAGAAACCAATTACAAGAATGCTTGTTGGGAGGTTCTGTTGTTTCTGTTAAAGATCAGTTGTCACAAATGCCATAGAAATAGGCCCATCTGAATAACACTGCTCCAGATAATATTCCTTACTTGATGTTTTCCTCCTTTCAGTTTATCATGAGGAGCTAAATGCACCAGTGCGAAGGAACAAAGAAGAGCCAAAGCCCCGTCCACTGAGAGTGGGGGATACGGAGAGGCCAGAACCTGAGCGTAAGTTCCTAATCTGAAATGTCATACGGAGAGGTGCTGAAACTCTTCAGGGCTCTTGCGCAGAGAAATGATCGAACTCTTCTTACCTCCTCTTCTCTGAGTGCCCTGAGATAGCGGGGAAACGGAGCACTTTGAGTCCATGAGAGGCTGTTGCACTTGTTGTACCCATCCTAGGTCACACATGAAGCCCTCCGGATGGAGGATGTCTGTGGAGATGCCCAAGGGTGCGCAGCAGAGATCACAACTGAAATGTGTTGCCAAAGCTGGCTGACAAGTGTTTGATGAAAGCTGAAATAGCAAAGGATGCAAGGTTGGGGAGGATTGAAAGCTAAAGCAATAACCTTTCACATAGCGAGGGGCTGTATAACAGAAGTGGTGGGGTTAAGGAAATGTTTCCTGTGAAAGGACAGGGAAATAATATTTCCTTCTCTTTTGAAGGATCTCCTCCAAATCGCGAACGTCCAGCCAACAAAAAAGGAACAGATTATTATCACTATGAAAAATTTAAGAAGATGAAAGGACAGGGAATAATATTTCCTTCTCTTTCTTTTGAAGGGTCTCCTCCAAATCGCAAACGTCCACTCAATGAAAAAGCAACAGATGATTATCACTATGAGAAATTCAAGAAGATGAATAGGCGATACTGATGAACGTGGACTGAAGTCTTGGCAGTTGTTCTTGTTTTCCACTAATAAAGGATTTTGTGTCAATGACCTGAATGGAGTTGGGGAGAGTCACTACCTTCACATGCTGGTGTTATCTACAAGGCTTTTCTTGTGATTTTTGTAGTGAATCAGTTTGCAGGTGATTGTGAACTCAGTTGGTAAAATATTGTACATAACTTATTTTCATTTATAAAACTTCTTTTATAAGAACATGAGCTTTTATGGTTGTCGTGTTTTAGTGAGAAAACAAACTTGCTTTTCAGATTCTTTCACCCTCTTAAAAAGTACGACAAAAAGAGATCCTTTAAAAGCAGCAGTGCTGTTTGCCTTGTAAATATAAAGGGAAGGTTTAAAGCCGGTTTGCTTGAATGTGACTTTGTAAGAGACTTCTTGTTTGTTCCCAAGGGCCTTTGCTGTGCAGAGTGTGCAAGGCCGAGACTCTGCAGCGGTGTGTTCAGTGCCGCTGCTCCTCGGCCTGGCTTGCACGTGCTCCGGGAGAAACCGTGGTGTTGGCTGTGCCTGGTGCTGCCTCGCTGGGTCTGTCGTCGGCACGAGAAACAACAGCAGATACGCAAGACCGGGGATTTTAGATCATGGGCTGTGTTGTTTTGTATCTTTTTTTTTTTCCCCTGTAGACTTGTTTCTGTAGCAGTTGCATTTTATTTTAGCTGTGAAGAAAATTGGATCAGGTTGTAACTGTTGAATTTGAGGACAATCTCATTTTCGGGGTCAATAGGGCAGCCAGTGAAGAGGCCAGAGGCCCTGCAAGAGAGGTGTGCCACATCTTCCCAGGAGGTGTGGGTACTTGAAGGCAAGATTTGGAACTTGAAAATAATAAAAGTGTTTTTAAGTGATCGTAAATTTATGTTTTTCCTTCTGGGATACATGCTGATGGTTTCAGGGTGCTGGTGGTAATGATGGCCACGGTGTCCTGTGGCTGTGCGGGTGTGCATGTCCCGTCACTCAGGAGTGGAAACTCCAGGGAGGGGTGGGATAGCCCCAGATTTTACTTTTTTTCAGAAAAGGGGAAAAGTCTCTGGGCCTGGTAAATGCGTGGGTTTGGCTCTGAGCCTGTGCCCCCGTGCCCGGGGTGGCATCCCCCTGAATACCTGCAAACACGGCACTGCTCACCTAACATTCGAGCGTGTGCGTAGTATTTAATAAAGTGGTACACTTAATCGGTACGCTTAATCAAGCGTACCACGCGAGGCCGCCTTGGAGCTAA